CATATGCAAGCAGATACTGCCTGTGGTAACAAAGCTGTCATGCTAGATCAGAATTTAGGAGATGTTTTATGCATTGCTGCACTCAGAGAAGCTCCTTCCAGTAGAGTGGATTATAAAACCAGTTGCTGAGGAACATTGTTTGTGACACGTTTTAGGTGATGGCATTTTGACTGTTGTTTTAACATGCATAACTTTGCCTTTAGCAATGAGTAACTATTCCAGTTCTGCTGTCATCTCAGTTTTATTAAGCCTAAACCCAAAGAGCCATAGGGATGGAACTTTTTTTATTTATGTTTTTCTGTTTATGTTTATTATTGCCCGCTGGTTATTGGCTAAGTGGACTTAAATCTGTCATGTTTAAGGTTTTACCTTTTTTTTTTACCTTTCTAATCCTGAAGTGCTACTTGTGTTGCTCTTACTATTGCTTGGTCTCAAGGAATTCTACTCATTTTCTTTAGGAAGGCTTTAGAAATTCTTGAAATTTGGCTGACAAAAGTAGTATTTCTCAGGAAGATTGCTGAAGTTGTCAGTTTGGTTCTCTTAGGGTTGTGAATCATTTAGAAGCAGTGTCTACAGATCTGTCAAATCTCATGCCTTATACATAGCACTCATTCATTTGGTCCCTGTCTCTGGCTCATGTATTTTCAACAGTTCTACACCTTCTCTTTTGCTCTTTGAGCGCTGACGTTAAGGCAATTGCTGACCATACAAAGAGTCAGAGGAAAATTTGGATTCTGCAGAGGTAATGACAAAAATATTGCCTTCCTTCAAGCTGATGTGCCATCTCTAGTGGGGAAAAGTGATTGTCTGTCCCTTATTGTTCGACCAATCTTCCCTAGGGCTGCTGGAGTTATTACTTTTTCCACCACAGAGAGGATCATACACAATGTACAGACAGACAAACTCATACATATGGACACAGACTACTCTTGAGCATTACTGAACTGACCTTGTTACGTGCTTGCTTTCCACCCTCTCTGTTTCACTCGCCTTGTTATGCCTTGCTACTTGGAACCTTAGCAATCACTGCAACCCATGCCTGTGCTCCTCTCTGAAGGCTTTCTTGGTAGATTTACATGGTTGTCTTCACTCTCTCCAACTCTGCTCAGCTGGAGAATTGCTTGGCACAAATTGTTCAGTTCTCTGCTGGTGTTATTTTGAGATAAAGTGTAATGTGCTGCTCTGTAAATATGGTGCTCTGTAGCAAGAAAAATATCAGCCCATTCCTAATTCCCCACAATGGCATCTTGTTCTTTGGGATTTCTTGGCTGGAAATTGGTACACATTTATATTTTCACAGTGAACAGTGATACCATCGTGTCTCAGATACATGATATGTGTCGAACACATGTAATATAAGGAGCAGAAATATCCAAGTGGGAAGACAAAATACACACAGGAAATTCCAAATATGTGTCAAACCCTTCTGAAATGTGACAGAAAGAATAAATGTGACAGAATCTGAATAAACCAGTAAAAAATAGGGAACAAAGGCAGCTCAGTCCATAACTTTCAGTTTTTATTGGGTAGGTAGCGGAGGAAGGAATAATGATGTCAGGTTCTGATGAACATAACATGAACTAACTTAACCTTGTCTGTTCATCCTACAGGAAATTTAAGGTAGGTGTTGGAGTGTTATTTTGTGTTAGGGTTTGGGCTTGGTTGTTTGTTTTTTGGGGAAGAGAGGGTTTGTTTTTAGTGGTTTTAATTTTATTTTCCCAGATCAATAGCTGAGAAACTTGAAGACTTCAAGATCTGATGTAGTGAATAAAGGCTAATATACGTGTTATCCTATGACATCTTGGAGCACTAATGCAATTTCTGTTGCTTTTTCATTGCTAGTGACATCTGTAGTCTTCCTGCAAAACATTCCTTGAGCTACTTCCTTGCTGTTCTGAATAGCTCATTATTAGGTGGCACGTAAAAGTAAAAAGCTGTTTAAAAGGAGTCAGAATGACATTTTGAGTAATTTGGGTCATTGCTGGATGCAAAGATAGTCTGATGTATATATCTGAGTCATGGTTATAGTAGAGTTTGTCAGGTGTTTCTTTTAATCTTACAGTAATGTTTTTTAACTGTTATTTGGATTAATAATGCATGCAACAAAATTTGTCATGGTAGCAGAATTCCATTATCACATTAACAAATCAGCATAATCAGATTTGGTTTTTTTGTTCTTGAAACTTCTAATTTGGTCACAGTTGTGATACAACTTCCCCAAACATGAAAATAGGATTCAACTGTGCTATTAGAGCAGAAGTTATAAATCCAGCTGATGGCCAAACTATGCAGTGATTAACTGGGTCCTGCAACTGCACAGATCTCTACAGATAGCTGTAGCCTGCAAGGTGAAGTGATTGCTCATAACTACTGAGCATATATCCCCATATATCACTGCATGAAGACATCAATTGCTTTCAAGGTTAAAAGGATATTTTTCAAAAGCAGCCATTGCTACAATTCACAAAGGCAGTAGTACAAGCTAGCTTTCATTCTTGAACACTTTTGTTGCTGTTAGAACTTCAGGATTATAGGCAGTTTAAGCATGCAAACCAGCACAAAAAATATGGGACACAGTTGCAGAGTACATCACCTTCAAGGCTTATCTTCTCTGTTTCCCCAGTTTTCGACAGCAGAAATATATCTGTGATAGAACATGTAAATGTGGCTGCTACTTCCATCTTCTTTCATTCTTTTAGGCTAAGCCTCTAAGCCTCTATTTTAAACAGCAGTGAATTTTATTATTTTTTTTTTTCTGTATATAATTCCTTAGTTTTGAGGGTTTTTTTTCTGGTCAGATAATACTAAAAAATGCATAAATACAGTCATCTTGTAAATGCTTTTCCATGTCATAGGTGCAAGTTCTCATGGAGTTTGTTTCCAGTTCTGGTGGTGATTTAAGTGCCTGGCTGAATATAGATTTGAGTATTTTTGAGGCCATTCCTTTCTTATTACTGAGACTTAATGCCTGTAAAGTGTTGATTATTACATCACTGCTGCCACATCCATCCTTACTATGAAGAAAAACTGACTTCATAAATGAGCTGTGTACATAGGAATGCGGGTTTTGTTTACGGTGTTGTCCAAAGTATTTTTGAGTGATTTGGGGTGAAGAAAGTATTATTTTTATCCTCTGGTAAAGTGGCAGTTTCTGTTTCTGTCTTGGACCAATTTGGGGAGAACAAATCTGTTATTATACGTAAGAAGTTCAGAAATGGCACTGACAAGGATCTCAAAAATCTAAACAGATAGAACACATTTTTCTGGATGAAAAAAAGCTTAAAAGTTACACATTTTTATTCCTTTTATCCTATCTTGTTCTTTTGTTTTTGTGATTCTCTATTGTCTACATAAACTCTGTAATTTCAAAACGGAATATGTCATTACTATAATATTGAGGAGAAAAGAATGTAAAACCAAAATAAATAATTTTGTTTATAGGGTTGTAATAATGATCTCCAACTCCCTTTAAGCACAAATTAAATTCTTGCACGTTCCAAGAATGTTCAGTTTCCTATCAAGATCACATAATGTGCTTAGATTCACTAGTTTTCCTAGAATGTACAAGAAAAGTAATTTATTATTTTGACTTAAAATCAATTTAAACACAATCCCTTTTGGAACATTAGTATTTGTCAGACCATTTTTATGTTCCTAATGGTCTTAATGGAGCATCAGAAACTCTTTAAACATGCTAGGTCTTTGTTCAGCTTCATTTGCAGATGATTATTCTTTATTTAGAAAAAATCCTATCTTTTTAAACTTATAACTTACAAAGTAGCTTTGATAGAGGAAAAAATTTCTTTCATGGAAATTTTCAGTGGCAGGTAACACAATATTGCAGAGGCACAGTAACAACACATTTTCATGACTAACGTGTCTAAAATCCAGTAAACTTTTATTTAGAGAGATGTAATTGATATACTAAAAGTTATTTATTTTTTTATAAATTAATAATTTGATTATTTTCCTTTTAACATGTCTAGTTGATATCAACTCTAATTTTGAATTGGAGATGTATTGTAGATGCATAGTTGTGATAGTGTGTGTGTTTGTTCTGTCAATTTTTAGTAAATCTGTACCAGGTGTGTGAAAAATGGAATTTCCACCATGTGGTAGTTATGTAAGGGCTTAATGTGAAGCCTTGCAAGCTCAAAGGAAGCATTCTTCAGAGGGTTGTAGGTCAAGTGCTAAATGTCAGAGGTATCCAGCTCTGTGTCTGCGCGGTTGTGTGGACACCGTACACCCTGAGGAACATTGGTGTCATTGTTTGCACTCTACCAGCGAATGCAAAGGGAGGATGGGATGTTCAGCACAATCTGGCATGGTATCAGTGTTTCCAGGCTCCCCTAGCCCCTGCAGTGCAGCAGTCTACAACATTTCATGTGATTCCCCCATTACCTGCTCTTTGATGTCGCCTTTAGGCATTTTGATATATTCTGCAATGAGGACACTTTCATCCTTTATGAGCATTGAGCATTAGGTGCAAATGTCATTCTGGCTCTGTGCACACAAAATATTTTGTGACGTGCTAATGTTGTAACTTTGTGGAAACAAAAATTGACTTGAGAATGCAATCACTGTTTTTGACACTACTGATTTATTTTTAGTATTTTGTTCGCAATATATCTTTTCCTATTAATCTGTCACCACACTTGATAGGCAGAATAAGGCACCCTTCTTGCTGTTTGCAGGTGTTATGTGAATTGGAGACATAAATCTATAAATAATTTTTTTTCTCTTGGACTTTGGGGTTAACGGCCCAAGAACCAATAACTACAGCCTTTCTTGACTTGCAACAATTTATTATAGGTTTTTATAGTCATAAATGAGAAAATTTGAGTGTTTGTGTAGCATGTTTCTAGAAGCCAAGACGAGGTCATCTCTTTAAAAATTCTTTTCCCCTTAAGAATCAACTTAAAATATTAATGTAAATAACTTTAGTCTAACATAACCTGTCTACAACTGTTAATGCTAAGACTGAAGAAATTTGCATGAATTTATTTGTTTTCTTCTAGCATGAATAAATTGAGAACTGTATGAATATTACAAATGGAAGAGCTGGCTGCAGCATGAAAGGTAATTGATTTTAAGAGCAGGATAGGAAAATAGAATCTGTGATTTTAATTTGGAGGCAAGAAGAGATGCTCAATGCAAAAATGCATTCTGTGTTAATTTTAAACTATAAACTTCTATGTCAGTGTAGGAATGCAGCAGAAGGGAAGAAATATCCTGTAATGAAAGTTTCTCTTCAGGCTTAGGTCCCTGCTCTGTGCTCCCCTGAGAATTACACATTGTGCCTTCTGAGGTGTACAGTGGCTAACCCCTGGGTAAATGCTTTGAAATATCTTCAGGCATCTCTTAGCCATATCAAAACAGAGCACTGTATGAGCAGACTGATTCTGAGAGAGAGATGAGTATTGCACAATGGATATGTAAAGAACAGGTGGCACTTGGCATGCCTTTTATCCCTTTGCTGGAATTAGTATTAGTAGAATAATAAAGTAGAGCTGGTAGAATAATAGATTAGGATAGCAACATCCATGAAGAGTCTTCTTTAGGTCACAGGTGTTTCTTCATAATCTTTTTATTTTACAAGTTATTAAAATATTAAACTGTTGCTTTGACTTAACAAAAATCTATTTTTGTTCTCATTGGTTTAGATGTTTATGCTACGGTGACTTACATAACTTAGTGCAAATGGAAATATTTATTTGGATTAAATTAATGAAAATGTTTGGAATGAAAAGCTCCAGGTCATTTAGATTATCATTGGATAAATAATTTTCTTTCATTTAAAGCAAGTCAGTGCATCCCTGATCTAGAATTTTTCCTAGCTTTCAGTAATGCAGCAGCATATCAGAGAGCCCGTGTAGTCACTGCTGTCACTCAATAAGCTGATTTAGAACTGCCTGGAGAGACACCACTTTGTGCTTTCATTGACTCTTGGGACACAAACTCTACAGCTCTGTTCCCAGTGCTACTGTTGAACAACTGTTCAGTAAAATCTGAAAATATTAGACCTGAGGATGTTCCAACTGCTCTCCTTTTTCTTTTCAACTTAATAGTCTCATTTTCTCCTCTTTGCTTTCCTGCATTTTTCAAATTGTGTTAAAAATAGCCTTGAATTATCATCAACACAAGAAATACTTTGCTGAGTAATTTGTTGCACCTTCAGCTGACCTTTTCACACTTCTGTTCATATTCCTTCTGTCCTGCAGAGTCACTGTACAGCTCTGCTTTGGCCGTTTTAGGAAATGTAAGATACTGACATGGAGGATCTCACCTGGGATAGTAGATTAAATAACACCCAGGGCATTATAAGGGTAGTTTATAATTTACATCACTAAGTGAACATAGCTGGTAGGTTAACTTTGCCATTCATACTGTACTAATTAGTTTTAGGACTAAATCAGTGGAACAGGAGGTGATGGACCAATACAGTACATATTTGTAAATGCCAAATTTTACTTAAGAAATATTTGGCAAAATCTTAAAATCTTCTTTGTAAGCAAAGTAATACATATTTTTATGAACATTTATGTTAGAAAAATTAATTCTACTATATTGATGGAAACAAAATACAAAAATTACAAACAGTAAAATTATAATATGATGCTGGGTGTTCAGGAAATACTTTTCTTCTCTATGCAGAGTCCCTAATTTGAATACTACTGCAGAGACTAAATCAAGTTTACCCAAATGTCCTTGGCACATGGTCACAATGCGACTTAAGGAGAAACTGAGAATTCTGACCGAAGTAACAATTTTCAATCACACTTTTTGTTATGCCATAGGAAGCCTGCTTTGAAGAGAGGGAGATGGATGGAAAATTAGGAGTGAAAAATTCCTGTGCAGTATTCTGTGCCAACTTCTACCTAATAAGATATGCAGGAACATCTATAGCCTTAATTTTGCTTTTCTTCTACTGATTATAGGCTGGCATGGGTTTTTATGCTGCAGACATATGGCAGAATGGCTAAGATGAAGACACCTTTCAATATTTTGACAGGAGAAATTATTTTGGGGCTTTATGATTATGTTAAGGAAATCAACTAAAAATGCAGAAAATGTAGCATTAACCTCAAAAAGGGCAAAAGTTTGTGTTAAAGTTCTGAATTTTGGGTGAATGAAACATTCACATATGCTTAATTTTGCTTTATAAATGACAATATGGTTTCAATTAAGGCACTTTGATAAAAGCAATCTGAGATAAGGTTAAGATGGATCTGAAAATGAGTTGTCTTCCTCTTTTAATGAAGTGATTTGAGGTGGACGGAGAAGTGTTTTTTTCTTGCTTGCTAACTCTACTTGGCACATAGTCTGGTGAGGAAGTGACCGAGATTGAGAATGTCTTCCGAGAAAAAACAGAAAACAATCAAACCTGGTCCATATCTGTCTTTCACACTTTGATTTTCTAAAAGATATGATGTTATATTGTTGCCAGTTGCTGGATGTGGAATCTGGGTTGGTCCTCTGATTCATCCTAATCCTCCAGATCATCTTTTCATTTGGTGGTTTAGGCTGCTGTTTGGAATTTTGGAGGCTCCAGCTCTACACTCTGTCAGTGCTCATCGCTATTATTTTCACCAAGATGATTAAGCAGTTTTTCCCAAGAAAATCACCAAGATGCAAATTTTGCTTTTTTTTTTTTATTAATTTACCTGGATAATAGCCTGTATAACTAACCATATGCAAAATTTTTCATCACTAATATAATAATTGTATCATTTATCATTACTATAATAGCTGAAGCACCTGACATCAGGGGACTAATCTACTATAGGTGGGAAGCAAGCCAAATTAACTGCACATCATTTGAATAATTTCCACAATAATTGCTGTTATTGTTGAGTCAACCAAATAACTCATCCAATGCTGCAGTGGTTTCTCTTCTAACACTTTGAATTTTGGAGGTTTCAAGCTTATAATATGTCATTTTCCCCTTCAGTTGCCTTTGCCTCACCTTTGTTCCTATTGTTAGGCATTCTTGTTGCAATACACTGTGAAAAACTGTTTTAACTTCTGATCTATACATGTACTTGTAGGCTCATTGGGTACTCTGTTGGCTGTTAGGTGTGTTGGGATGTTAATAGGTTAAACCATAATTCACTATTGACCTGATTTTGCATTCTGAGGCTAAGGCATGTTTGTGCATCAGGTGGCCTGCATAGAGATTATTTTAGAGATTGGGGTTTGCTTATTTTTTAATCTGTTCTGTGTATTGGTAGCTAAAATCCAAAAGGTTGAATCAGGTTATGAAGAGATGTACCAAAATATATAATTTATTTTCAGTGAAACTTACAACAGAGTGTTGATTAAAAAACCCCAAAACCTCATAGCATAGAAAGTTCATTATGAGGATTTTGTGGGAGGGGTATGGCAGGGGGCTTAAAACACTGGATTTTTGTCATTATCTCTGTCTCCTTGTAAGCTCTCTAATACTTCCCAATCCCTGCCACTGATGACCTTTGCTTAGAGAGTTGGATAGCAGCCTCTGACAGAGCCTTACAGCCAGAACACAGTAATGACAGCTGAAAAATCACCCATATATCAGAAAAAATAAAAAGGGAAAGGGTGAAGGGGAAGAAACCTGACATTTCCTTATGTCTTCTCCCTCTTGTCTGCTTTCAGGTATCAACTTGAAATACAGTTTTTAGCTCTGTTGAAATATAGAGGTAGAGAATCTGTATCTAATTTTTAAAATCTAAATTTGATCTTCACATGATTTCAAATAGGCTTTTCCCACTATTCTGTAAATCTATTCCAAGTACATATGGGCAGCACAGAGGTGGTGACATTTGAGTTCCTCATGAAGTTAGAAAGAATCCTCATTTAGAACTTCACTTAGTCAATTTTTTTAACTTGAGAAAGTACTTCAAAAGTAGACAACAATTGTTTTCACTTCAGAAGGCTGTTCATTCTTCCTGAAAGCCGAGAGCCTGTGTAGAGGACCACCCACTTGCCTTCTTTGAAGGAAACCGAAGAGGTTCCCCAATTCAGTGAACTTCAGTGACAAGTTGACATGCCATTTACTTTATCATTTTTAAAAATTATTCTTTAGGACTTCAAGCATTTTAACTCTTCATCTTAACTTTTTGAAGGCTTTAGAGATAAATTTTCATACAATTTCCGTGATTATTGCAGTAAAATTATTCCCAACCAATTCAATAGTCCCACAGTAAGTATCTGATAAAGATTAGATTTTACTGTATAGAACTAGAAAGATAGGAGCAATAGCAAGTATTTGCTGGATGTTGTTGGTGGTGTATCATATCTTGAGATAGCTGTAAATTTAAGTTTTCACAGCTGCAAAACTGAAAAGCAAAGGAAAAGAAATTTTGACACTGCTCTTACTTATCAGTGTCAGTTGTGACTACTCAGCCCAGTATCTCATGCATGTAAAATTCACAAAGCCTTAGATAAACTTGTGGGAGAATTGGATTAAAGAACACATGCAAAAATTATCTGTTGTATATAGACAAATGTATTCATCTGAATACTAAGAAGCTAGACATATTTGTTAAATTAATATACAGCTCCTGGATTTACACCTCTGTGTTATTTAGTGGGGTTGGATATAGGCAGATGTTGAAATATGCTGTAGTTAAGGCTTTGATTTATAATATATATAATATTGTAATTTTTTCTAATGAAAAAAGGACTATTTAGTGATTTTTTAACTCTTTCTTCTACTTAATAACAGTAGCTTGAAGAGTTGTATGAGGCTATCATGACATTGAAAAATAACATAAAATGATTTAGGTGAAAATCAGACATTTGTAGTAAGATTTAACTTCTTCAGACATAGGGGAAAACTAATCTACATTAAAACCCTCATGGAACATTCTCAGTAATGGGTTCCACTGAGATTGTGTTATGGTATAAAAGTGCTTGCTGTTGGTGATGGAGATGGTAACCAATTTCTGCCCCAGCACTAATTCTAGCAAGGATTTCCTTGCATGTTTTCCCTCCAGGGAGGCCCAGAGAATGTGTGATCATTTAATGTTATCTATCTGAGATATTATCTAGTCATCTAGGTTTCCTCTTTAGCAGCTTCTGGCAGCTCTTGAATAAGA